CACCGATAGATACAATAGATTCAGATTCTCCTTTTGTTTTTTTCTTCTTCTTTTCTTGGTTGGATAGACAAGAATAAGATTGAACTGAAAAGAATTTGGCTAAAACCGATTAAACTAAAGAATGGGTGTATACATATACTATATATATATATATATATATATATATATGTCTCACATAAATGGATAAGTTTTTGTTGGTTCACCTAACCTGAAAGCTTTTATATACACATCTGTACAACAATTAAATGGAGGCAGGTGTTTAACCACTCTGAAGCCTCAAATAATTACATGCCAATGTAATTCTATGATTTTCATCGAGTGCTATTATTTGTTTGCTTGCTTGCTAACTCCGTCTCGTGTTGGTATAACTTGATGACAATAAAAGAATATTTGATAGTTAATTCTCAACATCATTACATATATATATATATATATATATATATAGAAGTACCGCATGCTCTAAAATTTTATATATGAAATTAGTAAATCAAATAGGTATGATGCTATTCAATAAAATAGTAATTTTAGTATGTGCAGTAAAATATTTAAGTATCAGAAGAGCTAATTATGCATACGTTTGTTTATTAAGATTTAATACTCGCATTAGTTATATGTCAATTAAGTACCTGTGATTTATAAAATTTTATTTTTTTTTTAGCAACTTACTATTTCTTGATTTATATGTTCATTAAACTTATTACTTGGTTATTGAAGAATATTTAAAAGAGCTTTAAACAATACATTTATTATATGAGTTCATTAACCAGTTCGATTTATATCCTAACCATGAGGTAATAAGTTATAAAAGAAAAAATTAATAAAATTAAATTTTAAATCAGACAATCTCATAACATAATGGATCAAATTAAAATCTGCTCCAAAGTAAAGTAAAATCTGCAACTATTGTTCCATTGCATTATCCCCAAACACTAGAATCAATCCCTACGCCTATTATCTCATTAATATGCATGTGAAGGACCATAATCAAGTGTAAAAAATATAATTTTTTAAAGTAAAAATTCATACATGATATATACACATCAATAATAACACAATTAATAATATTATAAGTAGGGGTAATCAAGAGTTCAAATCGAATCCAAAATAAAGTTTAAAAAATACCTAAACCAAAGACCAAATTGAAGTAAACAGAATTCACCCAATTGGAATAAAAAATATATAGAGTAGGTATGCATATATCTATATATATCTATAACTATAAACTATGATAGGCAGAATTTATATATATATATATATATATATATACATCTTAAAAACATATTACACAATATATATATATGATGTAAACAAAGAGGATCATCAACTCTACGATAGAGGAGAGTGGACCATCGATGTAGAGCATATGTGTTTATGTATTTCAATATATATGTGTGTGTATATATATATATATATATATATTATAGATAAAATTAACCAAACGTAGTAGTCTATGGGAGGCATTTTGAATCCCCAAAGTTACCTAACTAGTATCCCATCTAAATTTAGTTAAACTAAGTAATATCTTTTGTGAAATCATAGGAACAACCACGATGATTAGTAGAAGCATATGAACAACAAAGGAAATTATTCATAGATTTTAGGATGAGAGATTCACGTCATTAAAAAGTAATAACTCTCAAGTCGCTTTGGACTTTCACCTTTATGTAACATGACTACATAACTATTAGACTAAAGACTTTAAAAGGAAAAATAACATACACTGTCATCCCAAAGAATATTAAGATTATGTGATAATCGAATTAAAAATCCAAAAGCTCACTACAATTGGGGGAAGATGTTAAGCAACCTAATTATCATGGCCAAAAACTCATTGCTTATTATATAGCTTAAAATTTTCTATTTTAAAAAGGTATGAAATTAAAAAAAAATAAATTATGTCCCTAAAAAAAGAATAAAATACCAAAATAAATGAAAGATATAAATGGCAGTATAAATTGAATAGTAGATAATAAACATAAAAAGAATAGTACTAACTCCTTGCTACAATGAGGTTCCTAATATCTAACTTGTGGATTTCTCATATATCACTTAATAAAGAGTAGGAAAATAATTGGTTGGTTAGAGAGACAACAATTTTATGTTAAAAGACCAGAAACTCAATAAAATAATTTTAAGTGTGAGAAATAAATAAAAAAGAAAAATATTGAGATACTTGATTATGTAAATAACTATACCAAAAGAGGCCTAGTAAATTATAATATAGATGAAGGTCAGTCAACATGCCTTTAATTTTATAATCCAAGACAATACTTATTAGATGGAATACCATATTTATTCCTTAAATAATTCTTTTACCATATTTATTCTTTAAATAATTCTTTTCATTCAATATGACGAAATTTCTCATACTTTATGTCTTTAAGTTCTCAACATCAATAAATAAAGATCCTAACACCATGTATATAAAATGTTATTAAAGTTCAAAACCCAAACTTTCTGTTATAGGAAAAGATAAGGAATGTTTACCCCCAACAACAAGATTCAATTATATGCCCTTAGTGGAGTGATAAGTTGTGTCTATTAACTAAAGTTTGGCATATAACCTATTATCTTTTAACGGATGAACATTAATTATCCACCTTTTGTGGCAAAGAAGCCTTAAAGTTCAACTAATAGGAGTAGCATAAAGTCGTCCATCCCTCTTGTGTATAAAATTTTTCTACTCTAGCAACTAGGAGATACTTGTCCTCCAACAACAATGAAAATGTCTTACTATATGTCTAAGATAAAGGCAAAGTTAGATGTAAAAGAATGAACAACCACAAAATCTATTATTATGAAAAATAATAATATGAGTTTCCATTGACCTTTCTTTTGGCTCTCTCTTGTTGAAAGAAAAATGTAAACTAAAGCTTATGACAATTATAACCCCATAAATCTTTATAGGTAAAACTAGGAGAGAGAAATATTACAAAAATTGAGTACAAAATTTTTATATACTTTATGTTCTTCAAATTTTAACTATTTCATTTTCTTATTGGTCTATAACTTTTCTGTTCGTAATCTAATTATTTTTAAGGAAAACATGTAAATAATTCTTTTTTAAAAGAATATTACTTATTAATATACTTTAATTAACTTGGTTTAAAAGAAGTTAAGGCATCCATATATACAAAAGAATCAAAATACATAAAAGACAGTGTGCAACAAATATTATGTTAGTACTAACTGATGTATACCACATATCAAGGAACCAAAAATCAAATCCTATAGAGGCACCATTCTCCTCCATAATGTTTCTTGTTAAATAATCACCAAACTATTCTTCTTCCATGACCACTCCTACTAGTAAGTACAGAAGGCAATACATAGTCACATTTGTTACATATATCTTTTTATATGTTACACAATACCAACAAATATATTTAGTTATGAATATCCTATTAAGTACAGAAAGCAACACATCATCACATCCTTTTATATGTTACACAATACTAATAAATATATTTAGTTACGAACGTCAACGAGATGAAATATCCGAAAATAGATAAAACATAATAAAAGTAATTTGAATTTTCTAAATTTGCACTTGACTATTGTTTTTACGTTTATGATATCTTCATTAACTTAGACACTATAATGATTCTTAAAATAAAACTTAAACTCACTTATTTGCCTATTTTAATAAAATATTTTTATACAACTAAAATACTCTCAATTACTTAGTCAACGCCCCATCCAAGTTTAGCTCAATTTACTCATTTTTAATTTAATAAATTTGGCATATATATATATATATATATATTTGTTGTAATAGAAGGAGGTTATAATCAATATGTGAATTAATGAGTGCATGAAAGCAATTTCAAGGATGGATGACACAATTCCTTTCATTATATAATAGAATTAGGCAACATTGCTAATCCATTTTTGTATAAAATAAGAAACTATAGGTTTTTCATTCTACTCCCATACATGGTTATATGATTCTATTGTTACTATAGGTTGTTTTGATTTATTTTGGTTTACGGTACATAGTTTTTGGTGATTTTCAATTTCATTAGTAGAATATCAATTAACACTTAACCACACAGTAATTTTTGATTTATTTAGTTGTAATATTTTAGATCTTTTTTCATTTTCAAAATAAATTTTTACTATTTTTTTTTTGTGATTTTTTATACATATATATATATATATATAAAGAAAAAGTTGTAATTGTTTCATATATTGCAGAGGAATTGTAATCTTTGAAATTCAGAAAATAATTTATAAATAAAGAATCGGAATAATATTTCCATTAGATTTATAGTAGTAACAATTAAAAATGTAAAGTAAATATAGAAAAATAAAAAATGTAATATAAAACATTCAAACGAATGGGCAAACCACTTAAAATTTTATTATTATTTTTTTCATATTCTAGAAAAAAAATTCTTTTTATTTTTAATTTTAATTTTAATTTTACTTTTCTTCATCGATAATTAATCTAGGAGCCCCCTTCTCCCTTTACCCTCTAATTTAAGATTTCCAACCTTTTTCTTTTCAGAAAATTTCAATTTCGTACCAGATTAAGAATCTCCATGACTTTCATTAACAATTACTGTGGTTATTTATTTAGTATAAATTTTCATTTCATTAAACAATTCTTTAAGAATTATTATTTGAATATTTAGTTCTATATACCTTTTCTCGTACAATGATTTATCAAAATAAATAAATATATATATATATATATATATATTGAAAGTGAAAAACTGAAAAGAAAACAGGGTGGTAAACGTGTAATGACACAGACATTGCCACGAAGTCCAAGTCGTATCTCTTCGTCTGATCATAATTCAGAATACCCATCTTATTATATTTCACTACTCTACAAAATTCCATTATTTTATGTTTTTGTAAATATAATAAGTTCTCTTATTAATTTACATATACGGAGTATATTACCATTATATATCAAACCGATCGATTCTGCGACTACTCCCAAGTCGGCCATGCCGACTTAAATTTCTTACCCACAACTTCCCACTTCTCTCTCTCATGGCCGCTACCAGGAAGAAAAACAAACCCAAAGCCGCTTGCTTTCTGGGTTGTTTTGGATTTTCCGAGAAAATGCTTCCCAGAAAAAGTGAAAAGAACAGGAAGAGTACCCGGTGGCTTTCTTGGTCAAGATTCCGCATGAGGAGGATCGGCAGTAAAACGGTGCCGGTTGATTCCACAGTAACTAACCATAAAACGTTGTCGGAGCCCCTTAGCACGAAACAGATCATACCTTCCGGTCTATCATCCAATCAACAGGCGCCACGTAAGGTTTCCGACCGTTCCAACCGTCGCCTCATATACGACACCAAGCAGATTTCTCCAGAGGTACGTGTGAAAACTGAAAAAGTATTGAGTTTAAATTTCTCCTCTCAAATTTGAATTTCACCTTACACTGTTTCTTCCAGTTCCAGACGAGGTACGGACCCACCCAGGACATCATCCTCGATAATGACGAAAAATATCCAAATCGCTTATCATTTGATGGGAAAACAGACCCGAGAAGAATCGGTTCGAGCCAGCCCGATGTCATCAACGCCAGAACTCGAAACGCCTCCTCGTCACACTCGATTTCCCTGCCGGTCACTACCCGAAACGTCAAACCGGTTTCGTCGAAGAAGAAGAAGGAGATCCAAAATGAAAATGGCGAAAAGATTGACCCGATCTTCGGGTTGTCTATCGTCATGGTGTCACTGGTAATAATGCTATTATGGGGTCGGTTGTGTGCGATTCTTTGTACATCTGCATGGTGCTACTGTGTCTCTTGCGTAAGGACTAGGAACCAGAGAATTATACGTAACGATGTCGTATTGAATTCGGAATCCACCGGTGAGCCGGATTTAAGTTCGTCGGAGTACAAGAAGAAGGTGGTTTTGGAAGGATTTATGAAAAGGAAGCAGCGGCGTAAATAAAGCAGGTGATTAAGGATGGCATTTTGTGTAAATTAGTGAAAGCATGATGTCTAAATTTGGATGAGAAAAGATGAATCTTCGAGTAGTTTTTTTGGTCTGGTGCTTCCTAATAGTTGTCCTTCCATCCATTTTATTGATAGCCGGAGGAGAAGAGAAGAGAAGAGAGGAGGAGGAGGAGGATGAATGTCACGTGAGATTGATGGAGCGCACGTGTACCGCACTATGTGATGACGTGGATTCGGCTGATGTGGCTTGGCTGGGTCCCACTCATGTTTTTAAATTCTGTGACTAACCAACTGGGAAGGTAAAGGCAGCCAATTTGTTTTGTTGACCTTATTATTTTTGGGAATGAGCCTTGAATGTTGACTTTCTAAAATAAAGAATATATATATATATATATATAATGTTTATATATAGCAGAAAGATAATGAACATGAAAAAAAAAAAAAAAAGGGTAATAGATTAAGACTTACCAAAACGAAGGGGGAAGAGAGGAGGCACCACCACCAATGTTGTTCGAAGTGGGGACATGCTTGTTTTAATGGGGTTTTAAAGAAAACCCAAATCGTTCTCTGAATTCCATAGCCGAAGCTCCTTTAATGGGGTTTTCAATCATCATCACATCACCAAATTTTATCATCATTGTTACTATTTTTATTTACTTTATTTTGAATGGACAAAATTGCAGTACGTGATGAATAGATATGGGGATTTAATGATATATCCACCCCACAACAAATATGTTCCATCCCACTATATATATATATATAATCAATACAATCTTTATTTTATTCTTGATTTTATTCAAATTAATTAAATTTGATTAATAAATTTTTATGATATTATTTTATATTTATTATTTAGTATGTTATGTTTAGATATTATTTTAAATTATATTTTGTTTTAACTAATGCTTTAAAAAAATTTTAGTTTTAATTATTTATTTAAATATCTTTTTTCAAAATTTTTATAGAATTAAAACAAAACAAAAAAAGAGAGAGAATAAATGCAACCGATGGCGAATAGAAAATTCTCTCTCTGGGGTCATATGACAGGTAAAATAACTTCCTATATGAGGTAGGTATAAGTTCATATTTTTACCAACGAGGCAACTATGGGAATGGACATACATGTTCTGTCCCTGCGCCATGCCCATATCTATATATAGGGATGTCCAAATGCAACCCCAACATACGAATGGGATACTCGAACTTCACTTAGGTTGAAAACATGTTTAGAAATTTAAAAATTATTTTGGCCTAATCAAGTATAAAGTTCCAACCTATTGTGTAGTTGCACTGAAGGTGATGGAAGAGATCAAACAATAATGGCTAGTTTTTTCATGTAATAATACTTTATTAAATCCAAGAAACATTTATAAAATCACCATTTACCAACATAAGTAGGGAATAAATACATGCCCAAATAGCGAAACCCCTAAATATACATCAATTGTTCTTTACATTGTAGGGAACAACAAAAAAGAGCCTCTAAAGATTAATAATGGTTTAAGACCCCATACATCTATAAGCCTTGTGATTGAAGTCATCCAGCCATTAACTTATGCTTGTAAAACTGCTCCAAGTTGGAAATGTGCGGCTACGCACCTCTTGGTATAAACTAATAACTAGTATCATATTATTTTTCTCTTATTACATAGTAGTATATCTGTATGTACTGTAATCAAGAGGATTTAATACACTGATGGTTGAAGAATAAAAAGGAATAGGGAAATTAGGCTTGGGTTTTTAATCCAAGTATTTATATTTTTAATAACAATTAAAACATATGATACATTTTTTATATATAATAGGGGTGTTCGGAGAAATTTTTCATTCCCACTCCCTAACTTGACCAGACCGAATATTGAAAGAATGAAAAACTCGATCAATTATCATAAAAGATACCTTGCTTATTACCTCAACATGTGAACACACTTGTTAATAGGAAAGCTATTTTTGAAACTAACTCAATTGTTCTTCATGTGTTTTTTTAATAAGAAACACTTTTAGATTCTTTCTTGATGTCATCTTATAATATATTATATCTTCCCTTTTTGCTTAGCTTGACTTTTTTTTTCTTTCATTCTATTTTTAGATGTATATTCTACAAACTCACTCCTAACTCCATAAGCAATCTTTCTTTTTTCTTGAACATATATAGTCATCAATTCATTATTGACCATTTATCCGTATGTGTATTATACGAGATTTTGAATGGTCCATATCACTATGAGAAAGGTCCATATCACGTTAGAGAGTATTAAAAATATAGTGTACTAGGAAAGTCTCATATCTCAACCTCAACAATTAAGCTGCAATGTCCCTCATTTGTATGATGTGCTCACACAGACTTGTAACATTGATAAACTTCATAGATGAGGTTATGTAAACCAAGGAAACATGACAACTTGCAATGATAAAGAACCCGAGATCAACAATGCAATCGAAAATCTCATATATACAACAACAACAAAAAACTCAAATTCCTAACTAAACCCTCCTTATTTGACCCACACTCAACGGGGGAATGAAAAACAAGGTAGCAGGGAAAAAAATAAAGAACTAGAATTGAAGAAATGCCCCAAGACTTACCTCGATAAGTGGTCTCAATTACTTGCTCAACAAGCTGGTTGAAAACACACTCACTAAACTCACTCTTAGAAGCTTAAAAGCTAAAGTAAGAAAATCTAAATATTATTTTCTGAAATTGTGAAAATACATGGAGACAGTGGCCTCCTTATATAGACTGACCATCCATTATTCTACTTGAATAAGAATTTAAATATCTTTATCTAATTTTTATTTCTACTTCAAATAGAAAACTAAAACTTAATTTAAAATAAACTCAATTAAATTAAAGATAGGATCTTTTCCTTTGGCAGTTTGTAAGACTCCTTCTTATACTACTATTCTTTTATTTATTTGTTGTCTTATGTTGTAGGTGTTGGCTTAGAAGTAGACTTCTTCTTTAATTTTATTTTCTGATTTGGATTAGGAAAACTTGTAGGAGCTAATGCAATCTTCTTCAAGTGGTCTTCTAATGACACTTTTCTTGAGTCTGATCATGAGTCTTTAAGCCTCTTTAAGGAAAGACTTCGGGCTTCCTGCTTAAGTGAGAACCTTGCGCGAGCAGGCTGGAAATCCTCCCCTTCCTCTTGGCCATAAACCTTCAAGGCCAAGATCATGCATGACCGAGACTCTTCTTGTTTTCTTGAACATTTTCTTGTTGTTTCTTCAGTGATCCACTCTTGGACAAGAATATTAAAGGCCTTTTGGAGATTCTTGGATTGTGTTCGAGCAATAGGACCTTCTGAAACTTGAATATTTTTTCTTACCTCCCAAACCATCTTTTTGATTATTTTTTATGATTCTTGGTGTTTTCTTGCCTAGAAATTGCATGAGGAATTAAAGTTGGCCAGTTGGAGCTTCCTTCTAGGGTGTTCAGGTTCACATCATCCCCCCCTTTTTCGAAAAGATTCATCCTCAAATTGTCACCTACATAAAAAAAAAATATCAGAAGTATTAAAATGTAGCAGACACTCCATACTCACTTTGGAGGTCAATTTGTAGGTGTTTTCATTAACACACTTCAAGACTTGAAAAGGTTTGTCTCCTTTAGGGTCCAAGTTAGGTTTTCATTATTTGGGAAACCTTTTCTTTTGCATATGAACCCATATCCAAAATTCGGGTTAGAAAACCACTATTTTCCCTCTTTTGTTGGTGTTTCGTGCATATGATTCATTTTTTTCTTGATATACTGTCTGGCTTTCTCATGTATGACTTTAACAAGTTATGCTCTCTGCTAACCATTGGTGTCCTGAATTTCCTGTAAAGGTAAAGGTGTAAGATCTACCGTAATTAAATGATTAAAACTATAAACTATCTCAAAAGGTAAAAACTCTGTAGAGGTATGAAGGCTCCTATTATACGCAAATTCTACTGTAGGCAAATAATCCTCCCGTGTTTTTAAATTTCAACCAACTACAAGGATCCTAAGATCCTATTAACGACCTCAGTCTGACCATCAGTGTGGGTATGACATGCAGTAGAGAATAACAACTTTGTTTCTAATTTATCCCACAAAACTCTCTAAAATAGAATAAGAGATTTCATATCCCTATTACTCATAGTTATCTTAGGAATGCCATGAAGTCTCACAACAGCCCTGGAAAATAGTTTTGCGATATTTATCGTATCATCAATCTATGACATGCAATAAAATGTGTCATCTTCCTAAACCTATCCACGACGAAAAATATGTTATCATTACCTCTCCTGCCCCTAGGCAATTCTAATACAAAATCTATAGATACGTCTATCTAGGTTGTTGTAGGTATAAACAAAGGTGTGTATAATTCATAAGGTAGAATCTTAGATTTGACCTATTTACATGCAATACACCTATTACAAATGTGTTCAATAACCTTCTTTATGTTAGGCTAATAAAAATACACTTCCAATATGTTTAGAGTTTTAGCTATCTCAAAATGCCCCATCAATCTCCCACTATCAACAGTAATTCCTTAGGTGAACAATTAAGCACACATAATTTATCATCCCTACAAAGAAACTCATCATGCTTATAAAATTTCTAGAATGCATAATGGTCATATATATGATAAACTGTAGAAAAATCATTATCATTGGCATACATCTCTTTAATATGTTCAAATCCTAACAACTTAAAACTAAGTAAATAAATTAAATTATACATGCGAGATAATGTTTTAGCAACAATATTATCTTACTTGTTATACTGATTACGTAAGGAAAAGACCACCACTTATCGTGACACCGGGTTGAGTTTACCTTGACCCTTTAAATGTTTTAGGAATTCATGGTCGATGTAGATCATGAACTCTTTCGATAATAGGTAGTGTTGCCATACTTTTAACGCTCTTAACAAAGCATACAACTCTTTATCGTAGGTTGAGTAACTAATTAGTGTGCCACTAAGTTTCTCATTGAAATAAGCCACGAGAGATCCTTCCTACATAAGAATTGCTCATATACCTATACCTAAATCATCACATTCAAACTCAAAGTTTTGTTTAAGTCAAGTAAAACTACAATAGGTGTATAACATAATTTATCTTTCAATAAAGTAAAAGCATGCTCTTATTTTTCAGTCTATAAAAACTTTATATTTTTCTTTGCCATTTCATTTGATGGTGTTGTAATGGAACTGAAATCTCCAACAAACCTATGGTAAAAAATTGCCAAAACATGAAAACTCTTTGCCTCACTAGCTGATGTCAGGGTAGGTCATTCTCTAATTTCTTTCACCTTATCCTCATCTACCTCAATGCCTTTTGCACTAATTATAAATATTAAAAATATTAATTTTTCACTGCAGAAAGTACACTTCTTGATATTAATACACAACTGTTCTTTCCTAAAGACCTCAAAAACATACCTGATATACTAAAGTTGATCCTCTAAAGACTTATTGTAAATCAAGATGTCATCAAAATAAACTACCATAAATTTACCTAGAAAATGTCATAAAACATAATTCATAAGTCTCATCAAGGTGCTAAGGGTATTCGATAACCCAAAAGGCATTACTAACCACTCATACAACCCATACTTGGTTTTAAATATAGTTTTCCACCAATCTCTAGGTTTTACCCTTTGATGGTATCCACTTTTAAGATCTATCTTAGTTAAAATAGTATATGCACTCAATTCATTCAACATATCATCAAACATACGGATATAGTGTCTATACTTTACTGTAATATTATTGATGGCTCAATAATCCACACACATCCTCCAAGAACTATCTTGAAGGAGGAGGCCAATTCATCTGATGACGTGGAGAAAAAACGATCCGATCTAAATAGAAACTTACTTGGGCAACTATGGCAAATAGATAAATGTGCAATTCACGGTGGTTTTAGTAACCATTATTCCTTTCGTTAGAATGGTCGAAAACTTACTATTATTCCTTCATCACCTGAGGAAGTGATTGAAAATCAATTAAGGATCAAGAAATCACTGGAAGAGAGAAAAGAAGCCACATGAGAAAAGTAGAATGATGCCACAAAAGAAAGGAAAATAATATCCCGGGAGAACAGGAGGATTATGC